CCACCTACTCTCGTCATAATGTGGTTTGCATATAGTCGTTTTGTGTCCTTTCCATTTTCGGTAATGTCGTGCAGTACAGCGTTGCTAGGATGGGTCCGTTTGGGGTTTCCGAAAGCAGAAAAAGGGTCCGGTCGCAGTCGTCCCTAAGACCGGTCATAGGGCAGGTTAGCTTGTCCAGGTCGTTCGAAAATGAGCATAAGGCACCGTCCACAGTTTCCCTTTTGAGGGGTGGCGTTTTTTGCCGTTTCAAAATAGGGGCGGACCATTTGGGCCTGGGGCGTTTCTGCTTTTGCTTTTTTTTTCAGTTTGAACTGCATCTCCCGAGAAATATGGGAAGCATTCATCTGTTTACTGCTATGAAGTATTGAAAAACGAGAAGGGAGTGCCCTGCTTTGTTGGCAGGCTTACTAAAGAAAAAGGCAAAAAAAGAGCTATCGAGATCTAGGGCCTCGCTCCACGACTCACGTAATGTGCAAAATGAGAATGAATAGTCCTGTAGAACATGGGTAGATACATGTCAAGTAGTTTAGAGGTTGAAATGACATTCTGCCTTTGTTTTTTTTGTTTTTTTTTTCGGAAGAAGAATGTCTTCTGTTTCTCACGTGACTCCGCGTGAGAGGCGGGGGGAGCAATCTATGGGCCTCGTGCAAAATGAGAATCAATTTTTCGCTAGAACATGGAAAGATACACAGCCATGATTTGTCTTTTGGGCATGTCGAGAGTAGTGGGAGGACGCCCTATTGCTTTGTCAGCCCCTTCTTTTCAAGGCATTCTCATGCAGCCCTGTCCCCAATCCCCTTCTTTTCAAGGCATTCTTAGGAAGCCCTTTGCACAATGCATCTGACTGTACCTCTGGCCAGGCATGAGGTGGTACGACAAGGCCTCAGTAGCTTGAGCTGTCGCACAGGTGTTGACGCCCGTCCGTCGCTCAGAAAAAAAGTGTCGTCGCGCCTGTAGCCGGTAGGCTAGGCGCCACGACGGGCTCGGTGCCTACGTATGTCGAAAAGGTGTCGCAGGGGGAGGTCGTCAGTCGCGCGCTCACATGTTTGGGCGACAGGATATTCATTCGTGCGACCCTGGATAGCGCGCGCTTGGCTCCCGAAGGAAAGGGTGAAGGATCGACACCCGGCCCGTGCGTCCTTCATCAACTCAGCACTCTTGATCGATGAATCCGGAAATCAACGTAGTGACCGTAGTAGAGCAGGGAACAAAAGAAGGACTCAAAAAAAAAAAAAAAAAAAAGCGGGAAAAGGAGACAAAAGAAGAAGAGCGGTCCTGATGGACGATGTCTAGAGAAAGGGGTCGAAGGCGGGAATAAGGGGCCCTCATCATTGTCATTGAAATTGCCGAGAGAGTTGTATTGTCAGAACGGCAATTGGAGGGAAGAGGAAATCGTGATAGAACAAAAACAAAATCTCCTTGCCGTCGTGGTAGCGGCAGCCAATGGATGTCCTGACAGGAGTAGCCACCTTCCCTACCCATCCCAACGTTAATACTCCCAGCGCACCCCCTGTCACTACTATCCTATCTCACTGTGACCAGCACTCAGGACCATCGCCCTACCAGTATAGAGAGCAACTTGGAGCAGACAGCAGTGACAAGCACCAAGGTTGGGCCAACCTCCCAGCCCTGATGGAAGCGGAAGCGGACGAACCTTGCCGTACGGGAACTTTGGACGCCAGGCTCATGCAATCTTCTGCAGGCCCAATTCAGAGAGTCTACCCAGCAGGATTACCTAAGCAAAGCAGGCCAGCGCCCGCGGACACATCCTACCGTCCTTCCCCTAGCTTACCCAAGGCTAGGCGGAACTCAGACTAGCCGGAGCGACTTATATCCCTACTCCTACCCTAGAGCTAAGCCATGCGTGAGCAGACCCCGTCATATACCTGATATACCCCCCTCTGCCCAGTATCATAGTTGTGTGTATGTGTGTATGTGTGTATGGCCAGAGGCTATGTATGTTTGCATGAGCCCATAATGCCATGTGTTTGTGTATCTGCCCGAAGGGTATGTGTGCTCTGTCTAACTGTATAGGCCAGATATGTGGAGAACTATGTAGAGGGAACTCAGTGTTCATTTGAAGAGATGACAGGCCAAGCTGGACAGAACCCCCCCCAAACTCCCAAGCCAGACTCGAACCCGTGACTGAGGAGATCTTCAGAACAACTACGAGCAACAGCCACAAGCAACCCACGCAGTATCAAGACCCGACATACAACACCATGGACAACCCTTGGGTGGTGCACAGGCAGTGTCTGCATAAGCTTACCATGCGTCAGCCCAAGGGAATGTGTGTCCAGCTGTGCGTCATTCTAACGCCCTGCCGGTGTCCATGCGCAAGGCTGCAATTGAGTTTTGAACCCGCAACCTCGTATCACAATGCGCATTTCCAACTGGTGCTCTAACCACTGAGCTACATCAACTGGACTCTTTTTTTTCTTTCCTGAGGAAGCAGAATCTCGGTTGTTTATCAGGGGCTCCCCGTGGATCAGCTGGTAAGGTAAGGGACGCGAGGGGCATTCAGGAGGGCTCAATCCCCATTCGGCTCATGTACCTTCCTGCTCAAGCTTGGCGGCTGCCACCGAGAGAGAGCCCCTTGGTCCCCCTGAGTGGCATTGAGCAGTGACTGCTAATGTTTGAAGGGGGACGAGACTGGAGGGGAGGCACAGCAACTGACCCATCGAAGAAGCTCGGTCCTGATGCTACCGGCTGACCCCTGGCCGGTATCGCCCACCTGCAAGTAGAGTGCAGCCCGCCCATGTTCCCTCGTTGGATGCTTGAACACCGGCTGACTGCTACGGGGTTCCCACAGTAATACTACAATGCAAAATAAAAAAGACCGGAACGGCTGCTGTCCTCTCCAGAGTCCAGATTAAAAAAACGTCTCCCGTCAGAGGTGGGGAGCACTTGAATGCCTTCGGCGTCTTTCATTTTATTTTTTTTTCACTTCTTTTGTTTTTCGTGCGTGAAAACGACGACCTTCTTTGTATTCCCTCTGCTGGTCAGAGGTCCAGCAGAAGGGTTTCAGAGAGAAGGGTACCGGAACCGCCCTCTTTTTCCCTTGTGCTGGTACCTTTCATTTGCAGGCTCGACAAAAATTGGCTCGCAGGGCATTTTTAGACTCGGCATCAATAGCTGAGAGAGGTACTAGTGGTTTAAACCACTAGTACCTCGCCCAGCTATCGAGTCCAAGCCTCCTGCTACCGGTAAGCCCAGCCTTGCCGAGCCTAGAGCTACGGGTAGCAGGTTTTTCTTCATTTTTCGAAAATAGTTTTTTCTTCATTTTTCAAAAACCGAAAAACCAAATTAAAAAAAAGAAAAGGAACCAGCCTCTGAAAAGAAAAAAAGAGAAACGAAGAAATACAACGGGGGAGAGAGAGAGAGAGAGAGAGAGAGAGAGCCGGTGGCCCCTCAACGTGGCAACGCACCGTCTCTCTCTCTCTCTCTCACTCTCTCTCTCTCTCACTCTCTCTCTCTCGGCTTGTTCGACATGGCAACGCACCGGCTCTCTCTCTCTCTCTCTCTCTCTCTCTCTCTCTCTCTCTCTCTCTCTCTCTCGCCCTGCTTTCCCATTGTCCCCTTTCGTTTTGTTTTTTTTCAACATTCGATTTATTGTTATTTTGGCGAAACTACGCGAGAGTAAAAAAAACGAGTTATAATTGCAGTATGGGCCAAGATACAGTTTGCAATTGCAGTTGGGGCAATGTATACAAACCAGCTTTCTGGCCAGGTAGGGTGCCCGAAGTGCAATTGCAAACTGTATCTTGCCCCATACTGCAATTATAACTCGTTTTTGTGACTCTACTGAAGTTACCCCTTTTATTTTTCATTACCGGTCGTTGGTTCCCCGACCCCGGTCCTATGCAGCGCGTTAAAGGTCGCGTGGTGGTATTAACATGCAATTAACATGCTATTGGAACCCGATATGAGGAATGAGGAATGAGGAATGCACTTCTAAGTATGAGGAATGCAGTTCTAGGTCTCACAGGCAGTGTCTAATCGCCTGACCCCCTGGCCAAGGTCTAACATATGCAACGTCAAGGCCACCACAACTTCTGGCCCTAGCCTGCCAAATCTAGAAGGCTGACCGTTCCCCACTTGAGAAGCTTACTGTCTGCAACATGACACATGCTGCCCGAATGGCTGCGTCCCCGTGTGGAACGCGGTATAACAGTAGAATAGATATGTTAGATATATAGAGAAATTTGGCAATTGGGACATCGTGCAGGACTCCCTCCGGGAATATGGGTTGTTTGTGTGAAACGACAGGGGAATGGGTTGTGTGAAACGACAGCGGAAAACGGTGCTGCCTGTTGGTGTCTCGGGGGCTCCTTCCACCCACTCACCAGATGCGAACAAACATAGGAGTGCATGTTTCGAAGAGAACACGACGACTAGATACGTTCGGCATTTTGCCATTTTGAGGGTGGTGGAACCAGGCCCTCGGTACGTGGAGTCACGACCGACGACCGTCCCGCAAGGGTCATGGCTGGCAGAAGAACAGAGGGATCGAAAGACTGTGAGGTATTCCTATAAAGGACGATTGATAAGCTACATTTAGTAGCAGTTTCCCGATTGAACGGCTCGTGCTATCGAAGGCGATGTGGGAGAGAGTGCAGGGGGGAGGCACCGTTGTCGTCACGAGTGGATAGCCACGGTTTGTTGTTTGCCTGCTCGGGTTAGTGTACGATGATAGAGTGAGCGAGAGGGAGCGGGGGTATCCCGACGACGATCACATACGCACTGAGCTTCAGCCGAGGTTGGAAACTGGGGTGGAGGCCCGGATTCCTACCTCGCCAGCGGCTTGGAAGAGGCACCGCCCATCAGTCAGTTTGCTGCCTTTCGGCGATCACCTGACCTCGTTCGAGCGGGGGCCTGTGTCAGAGGAAGCGCAATGGAGGCCATTGCAAAGAATCGCCGCACGTGCGCACATTCTTTACCCCGTGCCACGATTGGTTGGGCGAATGGGGTGATGGGTTCCCATCTGACCGGTGGGGCAGTTGTTTCACCCTGTGGTGTCTCGACCTCGGWGGTCYTTGTGGGCCTGGAGGCGACGTCATGTACAAAGGGTGCAGAACATGCAGAAGTGGGCAGCGGCGAGGGGTCATCCAGACGGCAGTTGTCGTCATCAGATGGTCGCGGAGGGGATGGTGAAGAAATGGGACCTGGAACACGTGGGTGCGGTGGGAAGTCTGGGTCTAGGACTGGCCATGGGGCTCCGATGATTACGGTACGCTGGACGGGTTCTGAGGTGGCAGGCACGCGGCGGCGTCGGCTATGTCTCCCTGTCGTGGCAATCCGTCAGGATGRAGGTCGCGAAGAGCCCCCGCAGAATTCCACTTTGAGGCGGCAATTTGACGAGTTTGACCCCAATCGATCCGGTGGTATTGGCGAGGAGGAACTGAGGAGAGCTGCGGAGAAGCTGAGACTCCCCGTCTCTCGGAAGGACGTGAAGGAGTATGTGCAGAAGGCGGGCGGTCGTGTGACATTTGATCAGTTTGCGGAGTTCACGAGGGGATTGGAGAACAGGCTGCATGCCACATTCAAGGAGCTGGACAAACGCCAGAGGGGTGTTGTGTCCAAGGAGGTTAT